GTATGGTATGTATGGTGAAGTAATATCTAGTCTTCACTATACTGTTATTCCATTGAATAAAGTCCATTACAATTCATTCATTCAATAATGATTGATGATCCAGGGATGCAGCAGCTTTATTACAGACGTGGACAGAAATAGAAAAAGTTACATTGCACGCTACACCGTGGTAGGCTGTTATTTGTTGTGATCTCCCTGTTATCCTATGCCCGCCACCCAGGTGGTTAAAACCATAAAATTTATATAGCGCGAAATTCTCTGGAAACTTGTAGCTTTGATTTTGCTCACAACTCGTTTAAAATAAATGTGTTTTTTTTTTACATATTATTTATTAAATTCGAGGTGATCAATAATTGTACATCATGAGAGGACCTGTAATATGACACCGTACTAATAACATTAGATTGTTACTTGTTGAGTCTTTGATTTGTGTTGTAGCTGTCGTGTGAGGGCGCAAATGGCGTGTTTCCGCCGACGTCAACCTCTCCATGTTTATTTAATGATTTATATGTTGTTGAGGGCGCAATATAACCCATTAAAATATGTATTTTTACATCTACGTATTAGTGTTACGTTCAGTAAGAAGAGTTCTTCTTATTCAGATTTACCTGTCGTTGAGGGCGCAATAGAACCGATTAGAATATGGATTTTTACGTATTACAGTGTTATATTTAGTAAAAAGAGTTCTTATTGTTAAGCGCGACTATTAGTTAACCAGAAAACAATGGCGCAATTAGAAGAGGGCGTGGTAAATGACGGTGTTATGATGAAACGTCCGCTAATGATCAACAGATTTGTTTTCGCATGTATTTATCGAGATTCTTAAACAGATGAACTAGTGATTTAAAACATGTTAAAATGTTTCTTACCACACTTCTTTGCGCTATAGATCTTATCAAAATATGTATATGGTCGTGTGACCTCATTAAAAATGCAAAACTGTCATGTCTGGAGAACTATTCAGATAGAGACTAAATGAAGATATATGACTTGTTATCTGATCAACATATTTAATAATCTATGTGACCTAATTAAAAATTCATAATTATGTAAATGTGATAATATTATCAGTGACATACAGCCATATTACTATGAGTCGAGCAATATTGAGGCCACCAACGTCACAAATACGTCGCCGCTAGATGGCGCAACTTAAACGGATATTTTATTGTATTTACTTATGATGACGCAATCTTAGCAGTGATAACTTTATTCACATATATTCCATTAATGCTTTTTTCATGGTGGCGTTCTTCTTGACAGCCGTGAATTTATCTAAATTAGGTTTATCTAAATTCATGTTTATTGGACATTTTTATAAACTAGTCAACATGTTTACAACATAATCTATACCAGCTTCTGCCAAGTGATTACAGAGATAATGGTATTTTCCATTTTGGGCACAAATGATTGCAGTGCCAGCGGAAAAAAAATGTTATCATAAATCTACGTAATCAGAAGGCATATATAGTTCATCAGCGTTCCAATGTTGTCCTATGTACAGTCATTAACAACTAACAACTGCAGCCTGTCATATGCATGCAGACTTCGTTCTAATCATGAACATGATAGTCAAATATGATTTGTTAATTGCTCATTATTTTATGATGTGACAAGTCGATATATCAACGAAATAATAATTAAACAAACAATGAAATGGGTTAATAACAGAACATATGTTTAGCTGTTCATTTTGCTGGTTCAAAAATGAACATGCGTTATACAGTTGATTTTTTATCCGCTTATCATGCCAATGTGGATAACTTTGAATATATTTGGGCATGTTCATATAATCTTGAAATAAAATAATAAATAAAATATTGTTTTAACAACAAACATAACACTATTTGTTAGATAAAAAAGTGATAAGGCTAGTGCGCATGCGCTTTGAATTATCTCTACGTATAGGTATTTACTTTGTGATAAATTGTGGCCAACTGTTGTTATCAAGATGTAATATAAAACAGGAGTATTTATACATGCTCAAAAATATATAAGTTTCACATATTGCCACTTTAACCTTCACTCGCTGTGCAATGTCACGATGAAAGCAACACGTGCTCTGTGACCAATGGCTAATGGCGGATGTGAGATGACACATGTGAAACGAACGTGCATTGTTTCTTAACAAGATTAGTATCATTCTTGTCACGTACCGCTATGTCAAGCAGACGTATTACAGATTTGTTTTTTCAGCGCATCAAACGCTCCCACTGTTCGTTACAAGAGATCGCATGTGTTGTTTGATGGTGTCGGCTCAGTACAGGCAACACCTACACCTATTCCCAGTTTTATCCTCCAACCAGATGTAAATCGCGTGTCAAATACTCATTCCACTGTACAACTATACGCACTGCCAAAAATCGTTCATCAATGAATAACTGTGATTACGTTTACTCTAGAACATACTTGCTGAATGGGTGGCTATTAGTTGTTATGTATCCCTCGTGTTCAAGATCATGACGTTGATTGGTCAGAACGCGGTCATGTGCTGGCGAATAAACTCATACTGACTCGACTTTCGATTTATGCTATGTTATATAGTGTCTGAAAACATTCAGTTTTAACGATCCCGAGACATTAGTGATTTCGATTTCGCCTCGATCATTCATATCCTCTTCGGCTCATTGAAACTGCATTGTTTGTATTATATTACTCATATAATGATAAATATATACAATATTAATAAGATATCCAGTAAACAATTATCGCTTTCCGGTAAAATCTCCGGCGCCTAACACAAATATTGTTTGTGTGGCCTTTATAGTCGGAATCCTCTTATATGTGTATGCACCATATGGTAATCAGAGAAAATTAATCCAACATCTGCATAGATTAAAATATATCAATATTTATTGTTTGCTTTCCATTTGTTGCTTACTGGCTGTTTATTAGTCCTCTTTTTATATTATTTAATTGGAAACTCACGAAAACGTATGGTCAATTTTCGAATGCTATGTAGTGTGTTTTGCCTGAGATATTAAACTTGTGAACATAAGAAACCAGCCAATTTCTTACGTTAGTAATTACACTTATGAATATTTATAAAAAATCTAACTGACTTGTTACGTGAGTTATCAGTGGTATTAATATTTATTTTGCGCTCTATGATTATCAATTTTTAAACAAGTCTTACACAGATGGAGGCTCGATTTATTCACTCAATAAATCATTAACTGTATTAACCAGTCAGGTGTATATAATAGATGGACAGATGGAAATCGACTACATGCGATGATGATATGAGTAGCTAGGAATCTATTCTTTTGTTTGCAATGTTACATGGAATTGTACTACCTTGAATCTACTGCACTTGCGCATTCAAGTATAGTCGGTCGCTGTGTCTATTTCCACCTACGCTATCATATAGAATACGTGGATACACCATCTCACGACGAATGAATACATTATTAGGGTTTCGAGCCCTATGGGTCGAAACCCTTTTGTAATTGCTATGTTTATTAGGGTTTCGAGCCCATTTGGTCGAAACCCTTTTGTAATTGTTCCGTTTATTATTATTATTATTAGGGTTTCGAGCCCATTTGGTCGAAACCCTTTTGTAATTGTTCCGTTTATTATTATTATTAGGGTTTCGAGCCCATTTGGTCGAAACCCTTTTGTAATTGTTCCGTTTATTATTATTATTATTATTATTAGGGTTTCGAGCCCATTTGGTCGAAACCCTTTTGTAATTGTTCCGTTTATTATTATTATTATTATTATTATTATTATTATTCTTCCGCCTAAATTTTTGGTCACGCTTTATGTCAACACCGTTGATGAAC